TTTTTTTGGTTTTCTGAGACAGGGTTTCTCTGTGTAGCTCTGGCTGTCCTAGAACTTGCTCTGTAGACCAAGCTGTTCTTGAACTCAGAGATCCACCTGCCTCTGCCTCCCAAGTACTGGGATTAAAGGCATGCCCACTATCCGGCTCAAATCTTATTTCTTATGAGCTGGGTGTTTCCAATGTTTCATCTGTACGGCATTCTGAGAAAAACAGAGGATTCTGGGTAAATTAGATCCTGGATCATGACTGGAGGTGGAATGCATCACTTGAATGGACTCACGGGAGCTGGAGCTGGGAGCTTCTGGCTCTACACTCCTGCTTTATAGAGAGAAAAACTTTGACCCCTGGCTGGTCCCTAACTTGCCCACAGCTTAGGACCCACCAGGCCATGTCTGCTCCTGCCTGTATGTGTAGACGCATGGGCTTTCTCTTCCCTGGCCTTCTTGACAGACATGTCTTGTCACCTACTACCATTAGTGTCCAAATGCCCTGTAAAGCCAAGGCTTTCCCTGGTCAGCCGGGGCCAGTTCTGAGCCCACTGCCCCTCAAGGCTGGGCTAGCATTGGCCTCACTCTGCTCTCCCTGCTCCTGCCTGTGGGGCCTACACTGGCTGCGGGACCTGGGATAGGTAATGCAAACAATGGTAGGTCCAGCCTATATTGTTTGCTCCCAGGGTCCGCGGAAGAGTCTACCAACCAGCTGAGGATTCTAATCCGAGGGATAGTCAATGAATCTATGCACACTGAGTTCTTTAGTCCATTCGCTTTATTCTTCTATGGTGATTCCATCTACACAGTTTCTTTTCTGCTCTCTTACTTAGCTCCTCTCGGTCCCTCCTGCTCTCAGTTCCTTCTGCTGTTCTCTCATCATTCTCCCTAGTTCTTTCCATCTCCGTCCTCATCTTTGTTCTTTTCCATCCATCCTATTCTCCCAGTGCTCTCTGAGAAGCAGCCTATGTACCCACACAGTAATTCTTTGGCAATGCAGTGCGAGGCTTGAAGTTTTCAGGGTCTCAGAGAGAGGTGATAAGGACCCACACATAAAGCAATTCATTGTCAGCTTCCAATTACAACCCAAAAGGGGAGTGACTGAAGGGGAGTTCTCTGGTAGGGTCAACTAAAGCCTAAGACCAATTAGGGAATTTATGTGCTCAAAGAATAATCTAGAAATGGCTAGATGAAATGTTAGGGGTCAGTAAGTCACAAGAAAGTAAACTGTCTTTGGCGCCACTTTTCCCACTCATCCCAGCTGCAGCTGCTTTCTGGTAGGGAGGGGGACATATGTTAGGTGGCTAAGCAACCGATGTCAGAGCATGTAGTATTTGGTTAGTAAAAGCACTTTCACTCAGAGTAATTGCTGAGGAGAAAATCTAGGAATAGCACCTGGCTGAGGAGGAATAAAAACTTAATTCGCACAAGAAAGAAGCTTGGCACCTGTTGCCTGCCTGGCCTGGAGGCAATCTCCTTGGGTCAGTGGGAAGTAACTGCCTTAACTCAGTAACTAGCAAATGGCTAAAACATCGTCCCAGGAATGGGAGCAGTAAGTCTCTTAAGTTAGGGTCTTGTGTAAATAACCCGGGGTAAAGGTAAGGAGTTGAGGATTTAATTGTTAGTGGTTCTTTTCTCTATCTGTGGGTGAGATGAGCTAATGTTTATCTATGTGCAGTTTTGTCCTTGGAAAAAGGTATCTTTGCTGAAATACTTTCGTCTGGAGAATGGCCCTGGCCAGATATATGTTAATGAAAAATAAACACAGCTGGGGCAGTTGTCCAGTTACCCCAAATGTATAGGAAAAGCTGTGCCCAAGATTGAGATGCAATCGTAAGATTACATGTACATGTAACATGGAGATGCACGGTAAATGGGGAGACTCATAGCTGTTATTGCACAAGAGGTTTACAACAAGAGACAGCCAGTTCATCCCAAAGGCAGTAACCCCATAACACCTTGTGTGATGGTTTCCTCTAACAGATCCCTTAGTTCTGATAGGCTGACCTTCTGAACACTGGTTGTCACTGCTGTATGCTCTCATGGACTTTCACTACCAGCGGCTCTCAATAGATAGAGTTTGCCCAGGGCAGCCAGCTCCAACTGTCTGGCTGTGATGATGACCTGGGCACCGAGGTCTTGGGATTTTAATGGCTACCATCATGTTTCTATGTTCCCTGCCGTCTTCCAGGAGCTTGGTGTGGGGCTAGCAAATGAGTCCCTTCCTGGGCCACCTTCCTGTCTCTAGGGACCTTGCCTACTCTCTTCCCAGACAGTCCCCTCTAGGGATCCCTTCTGCCCACCCCATCTTTCCCCAGGAATTCTGGTTAGGTCCGGCCTTTCTTACACTGCCCATGGCCCCTCCTGTCCTCCAGGTCATTCGCCAAGCCTCCAAAGCAAGTGCAGACAGTCTGCGAGTGCATCCTTATCATGAAGGGCTACAAGGAGCTGAACTGGAAAACCGCTAAGGGCATGATGTCCGACCCCAACTTCCTGAGGTCCTTGATGGAGCTCGACTTCGACTCTATCACCCAGGGTCAAGTGAAGAACATCAAGGGTGAGCAGGGCTGAGAGGGTCCAGGCAAGGGGTGGGGCTGGGGCGTTACAGTAGCCCTGTGGATGGAGCGGCACACTGGCTTTCCAGCTCCTGTCGGTGATGCGGGAGGGAAGCAGGGGGAGCGGGCAGGGACAGTGGGCAGGGGCGGCTGCCGGCCCACATGCAGTTGGCTCCACACAGGGTCTGGCTCTCCCTGGCAGGGAAACCCGGCTCTGCCTTTGCCTTCTGTGTGGCTTAGCATTGTCCCTTGGCGCCTCCTGCCAATGCCATGCCTCTGCATGCAGCCGGGGACCGGGCAGGAGGAAGGGTGGTACCACCTGCGGTCAGCGGGATGTGTCTTTGGCCAGAGAATGTCCAAGCTCCCTGCCAGCTGACTCCGGGCCCTGCCCAGGGCTCGGCCAGGAGGGGTGGGGTCCTTATGGACCACATTGTCACAGCTGTGCACAGCCTTACCCTTGAGGCACTTGGGGGTGGCTCAGCAGGTAAAGGTTATTCATAGTTTGCCTTGGGAACCTGAATTCGATCCCCAGAAAGTAGAGAACTGAGTTGTCCCACAAAGCTGACATCTGACCTCACTTGACATGTGCGCTATGGCATGTGTGTGTAAGTGACACACACACACATACACACACACACATGCACACACACACACACACACACACACACACACACACACAGCCTGTGCATGTATGCGACACATGAGAGAGAGATTGATTAAACTGTAAGAAAGCAGAAAGACTCTCACTACCAAATGCCCTTCCACAGTCCCGTAAGTTAAACACAGACACTAATGGACTGTGAAATCCCAAGTCCCCCCCTGCACCTGGGCACCCCTGGGCAGGTTTCCATTGCTGGGGTGTGGTGGTAGGGACCCACCCACAGCTTCTGAATCCCAGTCAGCTGCTTGCCTGAGCCCTCTAAGTGCTCCTGGGTGCCAGAGCTTGGAGGGTGTCTGGTGGGGCCTCTGGGTCATGTGAGGTCACATGGAGTTCCAGGCGACAGTGGCTTTTACCCTTCAAATCCACCTTCAGCTCCACACTTGAGAAACTCCACGCTACAGGACCGTGAGGAGTGGGCACTTGGTACACTTCCTCTGTCCGTGGGCAACGTGTTTCCAGTTTTATCTGCCCTGAGAGGGAGCTTGACAGTCACTGTGTTTGCCCTCTAGGCCTCCTGAAAACTCTGAACACCACAATTGAGGAGATGGAGGCCGTGAGCAAGGCGGGGCTGGGGATGCTGAAGTTTGTGGAGGCCGTCATGGGGTACTGTGACGTCTTCCGTGAGATCAAGCCCAAGAGAGAGAAGGTGAGCCGAGGCCTCACCGCCCTGAGTCCGCCCTGGGGTCAGAGGTCAAGTGCCCATAATGCTTCTGGAAAATTCTGCCAGGTTCTAACCTGAAACCACAGAAAGACTTAGGAGCCCGGCCGCTGCTCTCACTCACAGGGCGTGCAGACGGACAGGGTTGAGAGCTGTGCGCAGTGTAGAGATGGCCACAGCCCGCCCCGAGCTGAGGTGGCTCTTTAGCCTCTGCCCTGGGGGCTGTAAGGATGGCTTCTCCCTCCTGCCAGGGACATCCTGTGATTCGGAGAGTATTTGGCACATACTGTTTTACACACACACACACACACACATACACACACACACACACACACACACAGAGCGCCATGTGTCTTGATGTAGCAGACGGTGGCCTCACACTGTATGGAGGCGTAGTAAGAACACCCTTGGGAATGAGACCCTTTGCTGTCTGCCCACCAGCTTCATGTAGGTCCGTAGTCCCGTTCTCAATCTGTGGGTCGTGGCCCCGTTGAGAATCAAACGACCCTTTCACAGGGGTCACCTACGACCATCAGAAAACACGGGTATTACATAACAATTCTTAACAGTAACAAAATTAGTTATGAATTAGCAATGAAAACAATTTTATGGTTGGGGGTGGGGGGTCACCACCACCTGAGGAACTGTATTAAAGGGTCGCAGCAGCGTTAGGAAGGTTGAGAACCACGGATGTAAGTGGAGATGGCCGGCCCTCTGCCATCCTTCTGCTCCCTGTCTTCACCCAGGTGGCCAGGCTGGAGCGGAATTTCTACCTCACCAAACGGGAGCTAGAACGGATCCAGAATGAGCTGTCGGCCATCCAGAGGGAGCTGGAGGCTCTGGGGGCCAAGTACGAGGCCGCCATCCTGGAGAAGCAGAAGCTGCAGGAGGAGGCAGAGATCATGGAGAGGCGGCTGATCGCAGCCGACAAGCTCATCTCTGGTCTGGGATCAGAGAATGTCAGGTGAGGGGCGTCACCCGCCTCATGAGCAGAACCATAAATCGATACAAACTTTCGTCCCAAGGACGAAAGGAGTCCGTGACAGGTTCCCATCTGTCATGGCCAGATGGGAGCTGCTCAGCGTGGTGGCTTCCCGGTCCCATGCAGGTGGCTCAATGACCTGGACGAGCTCATGCACCGGCGGGTGAAGCTTCTGGGCGACTGCCTGCTCTGTGCAGCCTTCTTGAGCTACGAGGGCGCCTTCACCTGGGAGTTCCGCGACGAGATGGTCAACCAGGTGTGGCGGAACGACATCCTGGATCGAGAAATCCCCCTGAGCCACCCTTTCCGACTGGAGAACCTCCTCACAGATGATGTGGAGATCAGCAGGTACTCCCCGGATCCCAGAGGGGCCTGCATGGGGGTCACCTGGGGCTCGGGGGTGGGGCTGCAGGCCTAGGAGGCGCGGCCAAACCTGAGCAAGGTCACGGGTTATTCTAGAATGCTGACCCCGTGACCTCCGGCCTTGGGCTTACCACTTGGTGGGGGAACGTCCATCTCCCTGTGGTCGTCCCTTGCAGGTGGGGTTCCCAGGGCCTCCCCCCCGATGAGCTCTCGGTTCAGAATGGCATCCTCACCACCCGGGCCAGCCGCTTCCCACTCTGCATCGACCCCCAGCAGCAGGCCCTCAACTGGATCAAGAGAAAGGAGGAAAAGAACAACCTGAGGGTGCGGCCCCTTTGCCCAAGAGGCCTGCCCCATGCTCCACCCTGAACTCCACCCGAGGCCCGAAGGACCCCTTTCCCCTTCCTCCCCCACCCCCCTGCTCAGGGGTTCAGGCTGAGAACATCTTTATGACGAAGTCCACGTCTTCTGTCTCTATCGCCTTCAGCCCAGATCAGGGCTTGGTGGCCCAAGATGCTTCACTGTGTGTCGGGGAGGGGGATGCAGGGGGGTTGGAGCCTGGGTGGCGGTAGGAGCTGGTGGGGAAGAGAGGCGGAGGTGACCGCTTCATTGGGATGTGACTCACTTAGCAGTCTCTCACTCGTTCAAAACAGAAACTTCTGTGGCTTTTTAGCATATTTTCAGAGACTTGGAACAGTTAAGACTCAGCTTAGAATATTTTTATTACCTCCATCCCTACCCCCACCAAGAACAACAGTGTTTGCCCCGGCGGCTGCTCCCTAGCCCCCGGCAGCTGCTAATGTTTCCTGTCTCCATGGCTTTGCCTGTTCTGGATATCTCCTAGGGACAGGACCATACGGTAGTATTTAGTCTTTTGTAACTGGTTTCTTTTACGCTGTAGAGGTTCAACCATGTTGTAGCAGGTGTGGGTGTTTGTGGTTGAATTTTCTTTTACTCTTTACTCTTTGGGGGCCTGCCACCCAGCTGCCAAATACACGGAGTCTTATACTTACTTAGGAATGTCTGGCCTTAGCTTGGCTTGTTTCTAGTCAGCTTAAATGATCCCATCTGCCTTTTGCCTCCAGGCTTTTATCTTTTCGTATATCTGTATATCTTTTGTTTTCTTTTTATTCTGTGTCTGGCTGGGTGGCTGGGTGGCTGGGTGGCTGGCCCCTGTCATCCCTTTCTCCTCTTTTTCTCGTTCCTTTTCTTTTTTTCCCTCCGTCTATTTATTCTCTCTGCCTGCCAGCCCCACCTATCCTTTCTCCTGCCTTGCTATTGGCCATTCAGCTCTTTATTAGACCAGTCAGGTGTTTTAGACAGGCAGAGTAACACAGTGTGTGGAGGGGGGCTTAATGCAATGTCACAGTCGGAGGACAGCTTTTTTTTTATTTTTTTATTTTTTATTTTTTTCTTTTCTTTTCTATTTTACAATACCATTCAGTTCTACATATCAGCCATGGGTTCCCCTATTCTCCCCCCTCCCCCCCTCCCCTTACCCCCAGCCCACCCCCCATTTCCACCTCCTCCAGGGCAAATCCTCCCCCAAGGACTGCAATCAACCTGGTAGACTCAGTCCA